TACGGTCGCGGCCGCGCAGCGTCTCCAGAAGTAGCAAGGACACCAGTGGCAGCCCCAACGCCCGAGTCCTCAGCACCAGCAGCAGCACCACCGGTCGGGTCCTCAGCACCAGCAGCAGCTCCAACGCCTGGGTCCTCAGCACCAGCAGCAGGGCCACTGGTCAGGTCCTCAGCACCAGCAGCAGCGCCACCGGTCGGGTCCTCAGCACCAGCAGCAGCTCCAACGCCTGGGTCCTCAGCACCAGCAGCAGCTCCAGCCCCCGGGTCCTCAGCACCAGCAGCAGCTCCAGCGTCCGGGTCCTCAGCACCAGCAACAGCACCACCGCTCGGGTCCGCAGCACCAGGAGCACCACTACGAAGACTGCAGCGCCGCGTGTACCACTCGCGGATCACCTGAATGGGGGGGAGCTCCTGGGTAGGAGGGGAAGTACCGGGACGAGCTCCAGAAGCACCTCTCGGGAGGCGGCAGTACTCGAGGTACCTCTCCTGCAGCTGCTGGGAGGAGAGGGCTCCTCCAGGTGGAGCACGCTCAGGCTCAGCACCCCCAGACTCAGCACCCCCAGACTCAGCACGTCCAGACTCAGCACCCCCAGGCTCAGTACCTCCAGGCTCCGCACCTCCAGGCTCCGCACCTCCAGGCTCAGCACCCCCAGGCTCCGCACCTCCAGGCTCAGCACCCCCAGGCTCCGCACCCTCAGACGCAGCACTCCCAGGCTCAGCACCCCCAGACGCAGGACGCGAGTCAACAGCTACCTCGACAGGCTCACCCGGGTCTACCTGGGACACACCTGAGGGAGCGGCACCCTGAGGGGGGGAGGGGGGTCTGGTACCTCAGCACCTGGAGCGAGGAAGAGAGGCGGGGGGGGGGCAGTGCGGTAGGGGAAGAGGCGGTAGAAGGGGACGGACTCGTCAAACGTGACGTCCTGAGAGGCCAGAACCCGGCGCGAGGTGACGTGGTAAAACTGCCATCCAGGCGCGTCGGGAACAAAGCCAAGAAAGACACAGGGAACAGCGCGACGCGAGAGCTTGTCCGCGGACGTGTCGCGGACAAAAGCTCGAGATCCCCAGACCCGGAAACGCGACGCATCGCCAACCTCTCCCGTCCACCGTAGAGTCGGGGAAGTCTCCGGCAAGGAGACACGGGGCCAGAGGTTGAGCTGATGCGCTGCGTACCGGACCGCAAACGGCCACAGAAAGTGGGGAGCAGCCGCATGGGTCAGGGAGGTACGAGCGACCTCCATGACTAAGCCAATGCGGCGCTCAGCAACCCCATTCTGCTGTGGAGAGGCCGGAAGCGTGTACGACTGCTCAATGCCGTGCTCAGCACAGTAGGCTGCCAAGAGGTCGGAGGCGAACTCACCACCCCTGTCAGAGTGCAAGCGCAGGACAGGAAAGTCCGAGTGAAAGCGCTTGCCTAGCTGGAGACGGGCTCGGCTGATCCAGGGGATCAAAACACCAGGGACGTCACCCTTGGCGCGCAAGGGGAAGACCGTGGTGTAGCGCGAGTAGTCGTCAACAACTATCAGGAAGTACCTCTCCTGACCCTGACCACGGACGCGGGCTGGGCCCCACACGTCCATGTGGAGCGTCTGCAGGGGAGCGGTCGTCGGGGGAAAGGAGGAGGAGTGAGGAGCGGCGCGCTGCCGCCCCTCGACACAGGGAATGCAGTCAGGAGCAGGGGAGTCAGGAAGGGGAGGGAGCACCCTGGGAAGACCAGCAACAAGGTCCTGTTTGTGCATGGCCCGCAGGCGCTGCACAGACGGGTGACCAAGGCGGTGGTGCCAGAGGACGGTGTCGTTCGCCAGAGAGCGACACGAGCAGGGGGCGGACAGCTGACCTGACGCTGACGCAGACGCAGCTACCTGAGGGGACTCAGTGGTCAGTGTGTACAGGTCAGACCCCGGCTCTCGAGTGAAAGTAGCCAGGTGGCGGCCCGTCCGAGCACACGTGCAGTGAGTCACACGCTCGTAGGCAGGGGTGAACTGGTGAACACCCCCGTCCTGGAGCGCACTACCTGCCACCAAGTTCGTGGAGAACGAGGGGAGGTAGAGACCTGAGAGCGTGCCGGACGGAACCGCTGGACACGGAAGGGTGGTGGAGGAGGTCGCAAGGACCGGACCCCCAGAGGGGTCAGCAAGAGAGACAGCAACCGGCCGAGCTAGAGGCTCAAGGACAGTGCGGTCACGAAAGAAAGAGCGAGAAGCACCTGAGTCCAGTGTGAAGGTGTGCAGTGCTGCAGTCGACTCAGTACCAGGGGGCACAGACGCACAAGCACCTAGAGCAGCAGCTGCAGTAGTACCTGTGGAAGCAGACACACTAGCACCTAGAGCAGCAGCGGGGCTGGCCTGAATGCCCGGGTCGGGCGGAACACGCAAGTACTGAGCACCCTCTCCACTAATAGACATCGCATACATGGCAGTGAGAATAGCATCAAAGTCAAGTGCCCAAATATCAACACCCTTCCTGAGCAGATCAGCCCAGCGCGGCAGCTCACCCCCACCAGGAAACTGGGTGCGCCACGCATCGTTGAGGCGGGCGAAGCAGCGCTCCGTCTGGTGCGGCCCCCCACACGTCTGGCCAGTGCGGTCACCTGTACGAATAACGTACTGGCAGGTGACGCTGCGCCGCGCATACCACTCACGGGCGGCCTGAAGGGTCGGGGCAGGCTGCTGACTCTGACCGCCCCCCGGGCCTCCACGACCACCACCCCCTCCGCCTCCGCCCCGGCCACCTCCACCCCTGCCGCTGCCACGACCACCTCCGCCTCCGCTGCCACCTCCGCCCCTGTCACCACTCCCAACACCGCTGTCACCTCCACCACTGCCGCCACTAGCCTCTCCAGTCGCACCTCCACCGCCACCACCTCCACCCCCGCCTCCTCCGCCACCACCCCCACTCCTGCCACTCCTGCCCCTGCGTCGTCCGCCTGAAGCAGACGCAGCCCCGACCTTCTCAGCACCAAGGAGGTCGACAGCAGCAGCAGAGGCGACAGAGGGGAGGAGGGGGGAAGGGGAGCACCCCTCGAAGAAGGGGCCGCGGGGGTCGCCACGAGAGGTGCCTACAGCGACGATACTAGCCTCGGCTGCAAGCAGTTCCTTCTCGAGGAGGGCTACGGTGAGCTCAGTGGGGGAGCGAGAGAGGAACTGGTCCCTGACAGGGCGCAGAGAGTCAGGGAGGCGGGTGACAACGTGGTAGAGAGTGATCCAGAGCGGGGGGGGGTTGCTAGCGAGGAACTCATCAGGCATGGCAGCGCGAAAGCGAGCCTCACTAGTCTTAAGGTGGGTGATGAGGTCTGCGACAGTGTGAAAGGAGGCTAGGTCGGGGAACAGGTAGGGGAGAGTGAGGCGGCCTAGCGTGGCAGAAGCGGGTGAGGAGTAGCGGGCCACTACAGCTGTGTAGAGGTCCTTAGCAGTCTTGCACTGGCCGAAGTGCTCGCGCTCATCTAGCGGCAGGGAGTTGCGAATAGCAAAGCGAGCGTGCGCGTCACGGGTCTGCCACTGTGAGCGCTCAGCTGGGGGGGCAGTAGCGAGTGGGGCGGTCGCATGGCCGAGAGCGTGGTCGTACAGTGTAATATCTTCCTTGGCAGTGAGCTGTAGGAAAAGGTGCAGGTCATCTAGCCAGGTTTCGAATTTGACCGGACGGCCCTCGGCGTCGAAAGCTAGAACAGGAGGACTAGCCATAGCGACAGCGGCAGTAGTAGAAGCAGTAAAGTCACTGAAAAGGCGTGCGCAGGGTCAGCGGGGCCGGTGGGGCCTACGGACTGTAGTGGCGCACAAGCAGCAGTAGCAGGAAGTGTAGTAGTAGGATCTGCAGTGGTGCACAGGCGCAGCAGGCGGCAGCGAGAGCCGGCGCAGCAGGGGCGGGCTCAGCAGCGGTGATACGCGGGCGGCGGCGGGCGCAGCAGCGGCGGTGCGCGGGCGGCGGCGGGCTCAGCAGCGGCGGTGCGCGGGCGGCTGCGGGCTCAGCAGCGGCGGGCCGGGAGCAGTGCGGGCAGCGTGCGGGCCGGCGGCGGTCAGCGCACGAGCCGCGCAGGCTCAGCGCGGGCTGCGCGGGCTGCTCGCGGGCTGCGTAAGCGGGTCGCGGGCGGCTCGCGGGGGTTCGCGGGCAGGTCGCGGGCTGCTCGCGGGCAGTTCGCGGGCTGTGCGCGGGCTGCGCGGGCTGGTCGCGGGCTGCGCAGGCGGGTCGCGGGCTGTGCGTGGGCGGTTCGCGGGCTGTGAGCGCGGCGCGCTGTGCGGTTCGCGGGCGGCGTGACGGGGCCGATCGGGGCGCTAAGGGGCGACGCGATGGGGGGCCGTGAGAGGCCGCTAGGAAAAAAGAAAAAAAGAAAAAATAGTTCGACGGGGCCGCAGGGCCGCTAGATCGTGCTAGATCGACGGGGCCAGCGGGGCCGGAAACAAGCGAAGGTAAGCAGGTAGGTAAGTCGGTGGGCCCTAAGAACAGTCCTAGCGAAGGACCTGCTCTGATACCATGTCAGAAATAACTGAGCAGGAATGAATGAACTAGAACAGAGTTTGGTACAAGTAGGAAACCCTAACTTTGTGTACCCCCTAAGGTGTAACCCACTACAGCCTAGACAATATAAACATGCAATGTTTGACAACAGATCCACGCCAGAATGCATGCAGCACCTCATAGCAATTCTTGCAACACATTCACTCAATCTCGAATTCAAACCCGCGCTCACCCTCTTGCACACGCTCGTAGGCATTCACAAACACTCGAATGCTTTGAACCGTTCTTAGAGACTTAGACACACTCACTGAGACACGCACAAACCCTCGCACTCAGCCTTGGATTCGCGCAAAATAAAATGAAGTAAAATAAAAAATGCCGTGACTGAATTCAGTGAGTTATGTAAGGCGCCAGCGCATCGCAACAAGGCGCCAGCACGCAGCAGTAGAAATAGTAAAGCATGATGAAAAGGGTTGTTACTAACAGTGCAGTAAATCGATAGAAGATGAATATTGAAGGCAAATCCAATTTGAAGTCTCACACATGTGGCTAAAAACTCGAATCCAAGGCATCACGAATAAAATATACCACATCAGCATGCACAGAAGGCATCATCTGCAGCAGAAAGGAAAGAGAGCAGAAGTGGTAGTGGAGAAGTTTTGGCACCAAGTCCACACATGGCGCCAGCGCGCATGGCGCCAGCGCGTTAGGCGCCAGTGCGTTAGGCGCCAGCGCGTATGGCGCCAGCGCACATGGCGCCAGCGCGCATGGCGCCAGCGCGCATGGCGCCAGCGCGCATGGCGCCAGCGCGCATGGCGCCAGCGCGTTAGGCGCCAGCGCGTATGGCGCCAGTGCACATGGCGCCAGCGCGTTAGGCGCCAGCGCGCATGGCGCCAGCGCGTTAGGCGCCAGCGCGCATGGCGCCAGAGCGTTAGGCGCCAGCGCCCATGGCGCCAGCGCGCATGGCGCCAGCGCGTACGGCGCCAGCGCGTTAGGAGCCAGCGCGCATGGCGCCAGCGCGTTAGGCGCCAGCGCGCATGGCGCCAGTGCGCATGGCGCCAGCACGTTAGGCGCCAGCGCACTAGGACCAACCGGCAAAAAGAAGTTACGGAAAAAAGTAGGAAAAAAATGAAACTTTGGAGGGAGTGGAGAGGAAAAAAGGTCCGGGAAATGAAAACGCACCTGAAACGACGGTGCCTCACAAAACGCGCGGTCGCGCAGCAGCCCGCGCTCGCGCTCGTGCACCCACCAGAGGCGACGGCGGGAAGGGATGGAGGGCGACGGCGAGGAGGAGGGAGAGCGACGGAGGGGAGGGAGAGGCTATGATGGGGAGGGAGGGAGACGCCACGGTGGGGAGTGAGGGAGAGGCGACGGTGGGGAGTGAGGAGAGGCGACGGTGGAGTGAGGAGAGGCGACTGGAAGAATAGTTGGTAGGGAGGGAGTCGTAATAGCAGGATGAGCGATGGTTGGTTTCTCGTAAGTAAAGAGAGCAGCGCGGAGCAGGTGCTTGGATTCAAGAGACCTGGAGCAGGTGGGCCTAGGTGGTTGGGATTGTGTGGCGCTGGCAAGAAAATTTTCTGCCAAAGAAAAACAAGGCGCGAAACGGTTTTCACAATGGGAGTACAGTACATTACGAGGACGATGGCATGAATTGCAAGCTACTCGGGCACATGACATTCCGAACAAAAAGAACACACAAAAACACACAAAATTTTGGATTTTATGTCACGTGACAACACGCGCACAAACACAATACAGCTGATGCTCACCCCATGCACGCGAATTTGCCTTGCGCCGGATGGATACGCTGCACCCGAGGTTGTTTCCCCAGCTTCATGCACCTACATTACAAGCTGCAAATAAGCAAACCCACTAAAACTATATGATAGTGCCATTTACACATAAACACCACTACAGAAATTAATATCAAATATAATATAAACATTTACCCATTACAACCATTCAATGTGAGAAAAAAAAATGACGAAGAACGAATTGAGGACGCGGCACCTCTAAAGACATTGCCAGGGTCGAGGGGGATTAGGGTCTCATACCGGTTTAGGCACATAGATCGGCACACTGATGTGTCCACACTGCAAAATTGCAATCGCCTAGACACACCGAGCCACAGGTGACAGGATCGAAAATACATGGGGCAAAATTTCCCGCTCTCCACAATTCCCCGATCGATGTGTGGGCGCTGGCACATCGATCATGCGAGCCAGAGGTGCTAGCATTTTGGGCACCAATTAACTGTACACTTGCGAGTCAGGACTAAACCAGATACCAGCGTGCTGGCGATGTCGCGATTTTACTATACAAGCCAGGATCGATCGTGGCTTCTTCCCTAGAGGCGCCACGTCCTAAGGAAATATAAACCTGTTACAAGCAGGATGAAGATTCTTGACGTGTATATCAAACATTCGTCGTGCCTTCACACAACAAAGTATAGAACTATTACGCAACCCATACGACGTTAACGTCGAGTCTTGTTTCATTTTTTTCAGGACGGTTCTCTTTTTTGATACAGTCGATGCTTAGCCTATCACAACAATTTGCTTCTCACAATCAGAAAATCAGTCACTCGCGAACGTTTTGCCTGTAGGTGGTGATTGTGCTGATTTCGGGGTACAGTCACCAAGTCGAGGAAGAAAAACATCTACAGTTCATAAACAACAACGGCTGCCCGTCACCAGACGTGTTTACCTGGTTACGAACTTAAACCCCTAGACTCGTTTCACATTCCAATTTCATTTTACAATCACATTTTTGCCCGTGGCGACAAGGGCGAATGTGGCGAAATGCCTAAAACTCGTTTCACTCAGATGCCGCCCGCCTACCCGGTGTTCTTGAAATGAGCACCGACTGTACCGGACGGTCCTCATAGCGAGGACCGGACTGTCCGAATTGCCATTTCGGAACATTGGCGCTGTTCTGCAGGCGATTTTGCCTCCGCATCAAATGTACGGACCCAATCCTTCCTTGTAGTTTCTCGTCGCACCAAATGTCAAATTTCTCAATTTGCTGGGCGGTGTTGCCACGAAGTCTCGGTCATGCTCTCAAATCCCTCAAATTGCTGCCCAGCATAACTTATGCGCTGGCTGATGCTACCTCTCTAGGCAGAATTGGGGCCGCATAAGTTGTGCGGACATTTGCCTGGAGAAGCAAGATCGTTGAAACTTCTTCCCGTTAAATTTGTGTGCCCCGAAAGTGGCGTTCTACAGGCTGCAGCGTTAAATTTGGCGCAAGCAAGTTTGGTCGGACCGCGCTTATCACCAAATATTGATAGGCAGAAGCCCACTTATCGAAGAAGTTTCTGCGGACCCAGTTTTCGGCAATTTAACGCCTACAGAACAGCGCCATTGTGCTGTCCAGATGCAATGCTTGTCAAATTATATGTTTCATATTATTTAGTTCTAGGTTGTGTAGGGGTGATTCTTAGAGGGTACAACAATTCTCTCGATACTCTTGTACCCCCTCCCCTAACCTAATCGACATACTTTCCTCTCTAGTCTTGACATGGTATAGAGCAGGAAGTTTCCTAGGGCCCACCACGGAAAACGAATTTTTTTTTTCCTGCCCGGAGCGCGCTTCGCGCCTACCCTAGTCGCGCCCCGTGCGCCTGTCCCTAACGGCCCGTCGCGGCCCCTCTTTTCCAGTCCTCTCACGGCCCCTCGTTGGCCCCTCGCGACCCCCGCTTACGGCCCCTTAGCGGCCCCCCCCCCTTTTTTGCGGCCTCGTCGCCCTCCCCACCCGCGCGGCTCTGTCGCCGCCCTTTCGCGACCTCGTCGCCGCCCCTACGCGGCTTCGTCGTCGCCCCTACGCGGCCTCGTCGCCGCCCATACGCGACTCCGTCGCCGCCCTCCCCTTCGCGGCTCTGTTGCCGCCTCTTCGCGGCTTTGTCGCCGCCCCTCGCCGCCCTTCGCGGCCCCTCCAGGACCCGTCGCGGTCCCCTTCCCTCTCGTCTGCAGCAGCTGTCGCCGCAGAGCTTACAGCAGCAGCCGCGGCCGGACCTGCAGTAGCAGCCGCCGCCGAGCCAGCAGCAGCAGCCGCGGTCGGACCTGCAGTAGCAGCCGCCACCAGACCTCCAGCAGCTGCCGCGGCCCAGCCTTCAGCAGCAGCCGCCGCCGGGCCTGCAGCAGCTGCCGCCGCCGAGCCTGCAGCAACAGCCGCGGCTGAACCTCCAGTCGCAGCCGCCGCCAGACCTACAGCAGCGGCCGCCGCCGACCCTGCAGCAGCAGCTGCCGCCGACCCTGCAGCAGCAGCTGCCGCCGACCCTGCAGCAGCTGCCGCCGCCGAACCAACAGCAGCAGCCGCCGCCGGACCTACAGCAGCGGCCGCCGCCGACCCTGCAGCAGCTGCCATCGTCGAACCAGCAGCAGCAGCCGCCGCCAGACCTGCAGCAGCTGCCGCCGCCGAGCCTGCAGCAGCAGCCGCCGTTCGAGAATACCACAGCAGCCGCCGCCGTCCCTGCAGCAGCGGCCGTTCCCGAGCCTTCAGCAGCTGCCGCCGCCGTCACGACTGCCCCGGCCCTGCCCTGCTAGAGCCGCACTGCCCTGCCCTACCGCGCTACTGCTGCTGCTGTCACTGCTACTGACACTACTACTGTTCCTCCTATTACTACTATGGCTAGCCCTCCTGTGCTAGCCTTCGATGCTGAGGGCCGCCCAGTGAAGTTTGACACCTGGCTCGATGACCTGCACCTCTTCCTACAGCTCACTGCCAAGGAGGACATTTCACTGTACGATCACGCCCTAGGCCATGCTACTGCCCCTGACACTACTGCTGACAGCACTCTGCGCTCCCAGTGGCAGACCCGTGACGCGCACGCTCGCTTCGCTATTCGCAACTCCCTACCGCTAGATGAGCGCGAGCACTTCGGCCAGTGCAAGACTGCTAAGGAACTGTACACAGCCGTAGTTGCTCGTTACTCCTCACCTGCGTCTGCCGCACTAGGCCGCCTCTCACTCCCCTATCTGTTCCCCGACCTGGCCTCCTTTCACACTGTTGCTGACCTCATCACCCACCTCAAGACTAGTGAGGCCCGCTTTCGCGCTGCTATGCCTGCCGAGTTCCTTGCTAGCAACCCCCCCCCGCTCTGGCTCACTCTCTACCACATTGTCACCCGCCTCCCTGACTCTCTGCGCACAGTCAGGGATTCCTTTCTAGCTCGCTCCCCTACTGAGCTCACCATTGCCCTCCTCGAGAAGGACCTACTTGCAGCTGAGGCGAGCATCGTCGCCGTAGGTGCCTCTCGTGGCGAGCCCCGCACCCCCTTCTTTGAGGGGTGTTCCCCTTCCCCCCTTCTCCCCTCTGTCGCCTCTGCTTCTGCTGTCGACCTTCTTGGTGCTGAGAAGGTCGGGACCGAGCCTGCTCCGAGCGGGCGCCGCATGACCAAAGGAGGCAAGGGTGGAGGAGGCGGCCGGGGAGGCGGGGGTGGAGGCGGTGGGAGTGGAGGAGGGGCTGGAGAGACTAGTGGCGGCAGTGGGGGTAGTGACGGCAGCGGCGGAGGCGGTGGCAGGGGCGGGGGCGGCAGCGGGGGCGGCGGTGGTCGTGGCAGCGGCAGGGGAGGGGGTGGTCGAGGAGGTGGCAGCGGCGGTGGTGGTCGTGGAGGCGCTGGCGGTGGTCCGAGCCAGCAGCACACTCCGTCGCTCCAGGAGGCCCGTGAGTGGTATGCGCAGCGTGGGGGGGCGGGTGGCCTTAGCTGCACGTACGTCATCCGCACTGGTGACCGCGCTGGTCAGACGTGTGGGAAGCCGCACCCCACGCCGCGCTGTTTCGCGCGCCTTGACGACGCTTGGCGCACTCAGTTCCCTGACGGCAATAAGTGTCAAACATTGCATGTTTATATTATGTAGGCTGTAGTGGGTTACACCTTAGGGGGTACTCAAAGTTAGGGTTTCCTACTTGTACCAAACTCTGTGCTAGTTCATTCCATTCCTGCTCAGTTATTTCTGACATGGTTTCAGAGCAGGTCCTTCGCTAGGACTGTTCTTAGGGCCCACCGACTTACCTACCTGCTTACCTTCACTTGTTTCCGGCCCCGCTGGCCCCGTCGATCTAGCACGATCTAGCGGCCCTGCGGCCCCGTCGAACTTTTTTTTCCTAGCGGCCTCTCACGGCCCCCGTCGCGTCGCCCCTTAGCGCCCCGATCGGCCCCGTCACGCCGCCCGCGAACCGCACAGCGCGCCGCGCTCACAGCCCGCGAACCGCCCACGCACAGCCCGCGAACCGCCTGCGCAGCCCGCGACCAGCCCGCGCAGCCCGCACACAGCCCGCGAACTGCCCGCGAGCAGCCCGCGACCTGCCCGCGAACCCCCGCGAGCCGCCCGCGACCCGCTTACGCAGCCCGCGAGCAGCCCGCGCAGCCCGCGCTGAGCCTGCGCGGCTCGTGCGCTGACCGCCGCCGGCCCGCACGCTGCCCGCACAGCTCACATACGGCCCGCGCGGCCCGCGCACTGCCTGCTACCGGCCCGCCGCTGCTGAGCCCGCAGCCGCCCGCGCACCGCCGCTGCTGAGCCCGCCGCCGCCCGCGCACCGCCGCTGCTGCGCCCGCCGCTGCCCGCGTATCACCGCTGCTGAGCCCGCCCCTGCTGCGCCGGCTCTCGCTGCCGCCTGCTGCGCCTGTGCACCACTGCAGATCCTGCTACTACACTTCCTGCTACTGCTGCTTGTGCGCCACTACAGTCCGTAGGCCCCACCGGCCCCGCTGACCCTGCGCACGCCTTTTCAGTGACTTTACTGCTTCTACTACTGCCGCTGTCGCTATGGCTAGTCCTCCTGTTCTAGCTTTCGACGCCGAGGGCCGTCCGGTCAAATTCGAAACCTGGCTAGATGACCTGCACCTTTTCCTACAGCTCACTGCCAAGGAAGATATTACTCTGTACGACCACGC